GCCCCGCGCCGCCCTCGACGGGGCGCCCGCCGGCCGCGTCCGGGTCAGGCGGGTTCGGCCGGGCCGGTCCATTCCTCCCCCCCCTCTGAGGGGCGGGGCTTGCGCCGCTCCATTCACCCCTCGGCGCGGGGCAGGGCGCGGCCATTTCCCGCGCACCTGGGGGGGGCGGTGTGGGTGGGCGCGCTCATTGCCCGCCTCGCGGGGGGACGCGGCCAGGCCGGGCCGCTCCATGTCCCCGCGGTGGGAGGGGGGGCGCGGGGCAGAGGAGCTCCAGGACTAGTCTATTTTTCCCCAGAGGGGGGTGAGGGTGGAGCGCTCACCTGGGCTGGTCCATTTTTGCTGCGGGGGGGAGAGGCGTGCTGGGCTGGTCCATTGGCGCGGGCTCGCGGGGGGAGCGGGGCGATGGCCCCCTCGGCCCTCTCTTCCCGAGCCCCAGATTCCCGGAGTTTTTTCCAGCCTTTCTCTCCATTCCGGTGCTCTGAGGCAGCCCCTGAAGCACGACGGGGCTGTCTCCTTATATAATGATCGCATCTCTGCCAGCCCCACTCCTGGAAAAGTGAAAAAAAGGCAAAATTTAACCCCTCACAAAAGAGCTGTGCTGTGTTTCCTCACGTTGGAGAGGCACTGGGAAGCTGTGTCCAGCCAAGTTCCTTGTGCCATCCCTCAAACCTTCATCTTCCTTCTATATAATCTTTATTCCATTTTTACTCATAGTGTAAGCTTGATCTCCCCATATCTAGTATTCTGTAGTTTTTCTAAGCTTAGTTTAATTTAGAAATATGTTTAAAGATACTTGGGTTAGATGTTTAATTATTTATTGTCATGGTTTATTTCTGTGTTTTATTGAAAGTCGTGCTTTCAAGTGATTCTCATTTTAGGACATGAATAGAGAGGTGTTTTTGCCCCCTTTAAACTAACAGGGGCTTTTATTCTGGAATTCAGGATAATCTCACATCTCACAGCTTTGTGTCTCTTCCCTTTCCTTCTGCTTTGTTGTTTCCCCGTCCTGGATTTCCTGTGAAGTCAGCTCTCCGCACAGAAGTGTGATAAAATAACACTTCTTATTTCCCTGGAGGTTTTGACATGAATTTCATGGAAAGCTTCCTTTTGGTCTCATGGGAGCAGGGATAAAGTAATTAGTGGGAGCTTAAAAAGAAAAATGGATTTGAAAATAATAAAATCAATCAGGTAATCAATGGTTATTTGTGACAGGAGCATCATAAAATGTTAGATTAATTATGGAAAAGATCATAAAGTTGTCAGTGCTTCATTCAGAGCAACTCAGTTCATTTCTGTCACTGTTTTTTGGGATCCTGGACCTCCTCTGTCCCTGAGTGGTGTCTGTCCAGTGCCCTTTTTATGTTGTACTACTGGTGATGATGCACAAAAAGCAGTGCAATGTTAAAAGGGCATTGGCCAGCAATACAATCTGCAGTATTCTGTATTCATTTATTAATTTTAATAATATACAAGTCCAAAATCACTGTCTGAGACCACAAGATTTTCAAAACAGCTGTAAAACGACATTGCCACTGGTTTATTTTTTCTTACTCATTGTCTTCTACTTCCTTGCCAAGGAGGAACATTGGTCATTTAATGACAAATGCCATCATCTCTGGGTCTTAGAAATGGCCCAGGCGACTCAGCTCTGTGACCATCAGCAAAGATCCCCCTCTCCTCACTCCCTTCCCAGGTTTTTTTTAGTGTTTTGTTAAGGATCTCAGCACCTTCAACCCCTGAGAGTTCTCCAGCTCTCAGTATGAAGTTATTATTGTGTTAAAAAAACCCATCTTCACTGAGATTTATAGAATACACCCTCCCGGTGATGGTGTTCTCACACCCCACTGGTAAAGGATATCCCCAGAGCTGGGAAAGGAGAGTTTAAGTGCATTTTACTGTGATTCAGCACCTGCAAATTATAAAGAATAAACTCTGCTGTCTAGAAGATATTCCCTGTAATGCAGTTTAAGAACATCTGTCTGATGGCAGTTTGGAATCTTATCTTGTTACAAGGCAAATCCAAGCAATAAATACACTTGGAAATGGAATTTCCAGTTTAAAAAGCACCAAATAGTTTGAAATTGAATTTCTGACAGTTCTGTTGAGAATTTTGTTGGGTGGTTGGGTTCTTTCCCCTCATGATCAGTGGAATGGCAGATTAATAACAATTATAATCAAAATAATAATGTGAGTTTTTGTGTGTGTGCGTGTTAGGACTTGGTAAGCTTTAACCTTATCCAACTCTTCACAATCCACAGAAACCTCTGGCTGAGTTGATGTGGTTTTTTTCCTTTTTTTTTTTGGTGAGTGTATGATTGATTGTTGCCCAGAATTGTTGCTGCTAACGAGTGCTCTGACTTTATTGCACTACTGTACTATACAGAGAGCAGTGCAATAGTATTGTCAAAGCATCTGAGAGCAGAGCCCTCAGCACTGGCCTCACTCTTGCCTCAGTTTCTAACATTTTCTTCTAAGCCTGTGAGTAAATTACAAATTTACCCATCAAACCCTGCATTTTTTGGTGTGATTTATTGTAAAATAATCATCTTACAAATGCTTCTGACCTAGAACATTAAGGGGGGATTTTTGCAGGTGGATGTTTCCTGAAATGCAGCAATAAATAAATATTTACAAAACAAAAACAGTCATAATGAGCTCTGTTAATCTCTTCACAAATCTTAAAATTCTAGCCACATTTACTTCAAATCCAGTTTTTAATGCCCTGAATCACAGTAGTAGCATGAAATTGGTTAACTCCTTATGGAAATATCAAATTACCAGTATTGAATATTTAATGGGTCATTTTGAAAGCAGCCCATGATTTGTTGTCTGCTTTCCCAAAAATATTGAATGGAGAAAAGCAAAGCATGATCTTCTTGGGGTGCCTGCTGTGGAAATGAAAACATACAAATATTTCTTAGTGGAAGAGAACAGAAATCATTGAGCAGTCAGGGAAGAAATCCCTCATGAACTCTTTAAAAATGCAGAGTGTACTGAAAACTATTTTATTCTTGGATTTTGTCCTGGCTGGTTTCTGGGGCAGGTGTGGGAAGGAGTTTTGCTGGGCAGATGGTGAGTTATGGCAGTACTGGGTGAAAGCTTTCCCCTTGATTTATAGATGCTCAAGCTCTTCACTGGATTTATTTTCCTTTTCTTAAGCTATTATTTGAAAATGTACTGGAGGTGTGTGAAACATCATCCATCTTCACTCCCTCAGAAAAAGGTTTTTATGGGAGCGTGTCCTGGATCAAATCTTGTTCCTTCAGGCTGAATTTCCAGATACCCAAAGGCATTAATGGCCATTCCCTAAGGCAGATTCTGAGGTTGATGTTTAAAATATAAATATCCCTTTAGAATCCCAGCCTGACCACAGACTCTGGATATTTGTTCCTTTATAACAAATACAGCCTTGCTTTGATCCTTAAAAAAAAAATTGAAAAAAAATTAAAATGGTCTAACTTTGGGGTTAATCTCAATATAAACAGTGAAGAGCAAGTTAAGGAAGTCACAAACCATTTTTAACTTGCTTTCATCATTGTCTCTTCTGTGACTGTAAAATCACTGATTTATTATGTCAAAGAATTAATGAGTTGCTTGGGAGCTGAGAAAACTGCCTTTCTTGAAAATGGAAGTCTTTAATAGATATTAAAATTGCAGACTAAAATTAATTAAGTAGTAATGCTATCAGCAGACTGTTTTACAAGGCAATTAGACAATTCTCTGGTGGCTTATTTATCCCAAGGAAAGAAAAGTGATGTCATCAATTTTATGAGCTGTTAGTCAGTCTGGTTTATTGGGGAATAATGAAATGTATTGTGGGCACTAAAACCATCTGAAAGAACACATCCTTAATATGATTATTAATAAAAGCTCTGATGATACTCTTGGATACTGAATTTACTCATAATCTCCTCTGTGTGAATAACAGAGTGTTGTAGTTTTGCTAACAGAACACTTTATCTTTGAAAAAATTAAATTTGAAAACTTTTATGGTCTTTGAGCTTTTCAAAGTGAGGCAGCTCCCTCCTGCTTTCCCAAAACACAGATTGGGGTTTGTCTGCAGTTTTTGGGTTTTAATATACTGTGCCTGACCTTACATATTTTAGTTCCAGAAAGCAGAATCTGATCTGGATTATATTCAGCGAAAAGTGGAGTTTGACATAATGAAAAGTCTTCCTGATGATACAGCAGCAGAGGTAGTATTTTCAGCTTAAATTCAATTTTATTGCATGAAATTTGTAATAAATGGGTATTTTTCTTTAAACCTGAAATATATGTGGCTGCTCTTTCATCTACTTGTCAGGCTGTTATTGTTATTGTTATTATTATTATTATTATTATTTACTTATTTACTTATTTTTTTATTTACTTATTTATTTCCTGCATCATATATCAAGATAGCGGCCTAAAATGAAACCAACTCCTTTGGTTTCTTGGGATAGTGACATTCTCCCATGCTCTGCTCTGAGAAATCACTGGTGTTAACACCTAAATTCAGGTTACAGATTCCAGTCTGAGCTAAAACTCACCCTTGCTGTGAGAACCAAGATAAACTTACCAACAAGCTGTGAATAAATTCAGGTTTGGGGGAGAGATGAGAGGAAAACAATAAATGACATTGTAAAGGATTTTATAAATAAGTCCTTTTCTCCTGTACATTTTCATTGTAAAGGGACATTTCATGTTAGATGTCTGCACTTTTAACTGATGTGTGGCCACATTAATATTGTCATCTTATGTAATTTCAATGTTCTACTCACACAGGAGAATCCAGCTGCTCTCCTGAAAGAGCTGCCAGTGCTGAAATCCCGTTACAAATCCCTGTGTGCACAGATGGAAGAAATTTCCATGGAGCAGAAGGAATCCATGGAGAGCATCCGTGCTGCCCTGGAGAGAACAATGAAGATAGTTCAGGCACTACAGCAACAAACCGAGCTGGAGGTGGTATTTTCATTTTAATCACTTTGTTTTCACTCCTGGGAATGAACACAAACTTTGTATCCTTTATGTACCAGCAGGGGTTCCTCTGGAAACTGCTGTTTGTGCAAACTTTTAGAAGATAAGGGGACAGTTTCCCAGAAGGAATGCTGGCAGGATTGGAGCTCTTTCTGTAAATCCCAGTCCTCAGCAGTTAAAATCTGTGGTGGTCAGATTTGGGGCTGAGAAGTGTGGATAGAGTGACACAATTTGGCTCATTTCATAGGAATCGACACCTCTGTGCACAGCTGTGTCCCAGGGCCACAGTGACAGATTTTAGAAGTAGACACCTTAAAGAAAACAGAAATTGAAACCAGTTTTAAAAGGCTAAAAAGCTTTTAAATGGCAAATGTATTTTTAGTGTCTAAAGGGAGAAAGTTAAAGCCATTGTAACAAACACCATGGGACTGCTGTTATTCCAAAGCTGTTTTTCCTAAGGTAATGTTTAAATTGTTAAAAAACTCAGCAACAAACATTTTCTGAAGTGGTCTTCAGACACTGCTTCATTACTGAAGAGGTGAAAGCTTTCATTTTGACCCTTTACAAATGAGGTGATTTAGGTCAATGTTCTAATGACAGTGCCTGGAGATTTGGTTTAATCTGTCAACTGTTCTGGGCAAGTTATTGGCAACTTTTAATAGGCAAAATTGTCTGTATCATGATTTAAAAGACAGTGGTTATATGTCACAGAAAGGAAAATAGATCATGTCTTACTGTGTTTCAAGGATATTCTGCCAAGAATAATTTTATACCTGGATTTTCTCTAAGTGGAAGACCCTTTTCTTGAGTTGTATATAGAGCTTTAGGTAAAGATTTTCTTGTACTTTTAATATTTTTATATTTAACCAAAGATGGATTAAACTTCTGGAGATATATAAGTCTTTAAATGCAATACTTTTTTTTAAATTGAAAATTTTATATTGCTTGACTAATTTATAGTACTGGTGCTAGAGGAAGATTATGGTTGATTTTTCAGAAATACTTTACTTGTAAATGTGCTTTCAGTGAAAGGAAATCAGGAGTCTGCTGTCAGTTTCCATGAGCAAAGGGCTGCACAAATATTGAGTCCATCTGTAAATATCATCACCTCAGGAACTGAAGGATCAGACTTCTCTGTGTTTGCCTTTTTTTGTTTTCCCAGCGCTTACCTCTGTCAGAAGAAGAACTGGCTGCAGCCCAGCGGTTGAACTTGCAAATTGGGAAAGAAATGGAATTTTCAGTGGAAAAGGTAATTAGGGCATGGAATGTCAGTACTCCAGAAACCTTTAATCCTGAGTGCAGCCCAGATGAATGCAGAAGGGGCCTATTTTGTGATTTGATACCTCTTAAATTAATGGAATTTTTCATAAATGGGATTAAGTTCCTTAATAAACCTTTTCATTTTTATTCTATGCAGATTAAGCTTTTTTAATTGTTCCAATTAGGTGGTCCACAAAGCAGAAATTAGCTTTGATGGAAGACTTTGTTCCTGTTATTTTTTAATTAGGATATGTTTATGTTTCTTGTCAGGGTTGCAGTTGGTTGCACTTGTTGATCTTCTTGATTAAGAAGCATTTGGGTGGGAGTGAGGGATGTCATTAGTTCAAAGCAATGTGGGGAGAAATTTAATTTCCTGTGAAATATTAAACAAATTTTAGGATATGAGTAACAACCTATTCTAACTGCAATGCAGTGGAACTTAGATCTAAATTAATATTTGTTAAAAACTCAGATATTCTCCCATAGCTCAATATGTAATTATCCAATATAATTATCTGCAAATATTTGCTCTGGGTCTCATATCAAAAATATTAAAGAAGGTTAACGGAGGGTGACTGTTTCTCTGATTGACCTTTTTGTTTTCTACTGCTCCTCACTTCCCACTGTCACAGGAGACCTCACTTTGTGCCTTTTTTGCCACAGTTGGTTTGCATGGAACCTGTCCAGTTCCTGCAACTTCATTCACCCTTTGTTTGCAAATATCTGCTCCTCTTCTGAGAAATGCTCTCAGTTTATGTCCAGTACTAGTTTTAAATCATGTGCAGTGCTTTCAGATCCATGCTGGGAGGCTGGAGGGGCTCATCTGACTTGCACATAAATCTTTCTGTATCCATTTTAAATTGAATTTTATTTTAAACTGTGTTTAATCCCTAAGATTTTGCTGTTGACTTCAGTGGCTGCGAGATCCTTGGTTATCCAGTGGTAAAATGTAATTAATGTAAATTTCATGCAGAAATTAAAGTGTAAAAAATTATTTCTAGGCAAAACACTAACAAATACTGACAAAAATTATTGTTTATTTTTAGCCATCCTGCCCAGGATCTACAGTCTCTGTCTCAGCTGAAGGTAAGTGCTAAAAAAATAAACTGTTTTCTTCTCCCAGAGGCTTTGATAGGCAGTAACTCCACTGTTTTCATTCACAAGCACCAGTATCTACTTCTTTTATGGGAAGAATTGAGACTTCACTAGAAGGACCTGACCCATTAGTTACATTCCAGGAATAGTTGCCATGTTTCTGGGATTTTTTTCCTTTCTTTCAATGGGATTGAAGTGGAAAACTGTTGTGTTTTTGGTCTGGAAGAAATGGTGCACTAATCTTACCTTGGAAATGGCTCTTTTGAAATCCATTTATCCCTGTTTATAGAAAGGAATTTTCACAGTTGGTTTTGGTTTGTTTTTTAAAAACCAAAGCTGACTGGTCATTGACAGACCAAATGTGTCAATCCTCATCAGATCTCAAATTAAATGATTTTTTACTGGTTCTCCAGATCCAGTGATTGTTTTTTCTCTCCTTTTTCTTGCTGGAAAATCTTCCTTCAGTCCCACCTAGGGGTGTTATTAAACACTAATGGAAGTACTTATTATCTTTGACCCAATTTCTGAAGAAGCAAATATTTTCCATTTCCCTTTTTTTTAACAAATATCTTGTGTTTCAAATTTTTTTAGAACCCCATTTCACACCATTGACTGAAAAAGCATTTATGAGTGTGCCCAGGAGCATCAGAAGCACTGTGAAATTAGCAGACTTGAACTATTTGTACAAGGAGTTATTTAACCACTTCATTGTACAGAACAACAGGTAAGGCTCAAAGCCATTCAAGAATTTTATAAACTGTAAAGAATTAAAGCTTTTCAAATTAAATAAAACCAGCTAGTTAAACATTCACTGCCATATTGTAACTTCAAAAAGTCCTGACACTAAACCATGACCCCCAGATGCGGCCCTCCCCTCACCAACCCCTCCTGAGCCTTCTCTGGGGTGAGTGCTGGGAATTTCTTACAGGTTGATGTTACAAAAAAATAAAGTTTCAAACTCAGGAATTCTGTCTTTTTAACACTAAGATTAACTGTGATTTGAAGTAGTATAGAAAAGTTGATGGTAATCTGAATAAGTTTGAGATTTACAGAGCATTCACAAAAATCACTGATTTAACAGCATGTGCTTTTTAGCCATTTTCTGCTAGACCTGGTGTTTGATCCCTGTTTTAGTAAATTGTTTTTGTCTTACAGAGCAGCACTGAGTGTTTCACAGATGAACAAGATGAATATGAAAGCCACTGACTCAAGAATTCAGATCCTGAAAGAACTCGGGATTGTGGAAATCAACAAACAAGGAAATGTTAAATTAGCTGTGTAATGAAAGCTCATCTGACACAGCAGCATCTTGGTCACAGCTCCTCGGTTATTAAGGAACAGGAGTTCCAAGTCCTGTCCAAGTCAAAGGGAAGTTGTTAATATTTCTGCATAAACATTCTGTTGATAATACATGAAATTGGAGAGTTCAAAAACACTGAGGTTGGCACTTTACCTTGGCTGTTCTAAGGATTATGGGGGTTTTTTAAGGAATGTTTTGGGCCATGTGACGCTTCCATTTCCTTGCTGCATTCCTGAGGGGGTTTTAAAGGCAAATAATCCAAGCCTCTTAATTGTACTTGCATTCCTGAATAAAGATTTATTCTACTTTTGTTACTGTGCATCCTGACCCTGCTCCCTGCCCCACCCCTGAGCCTGCTCCCTGACCTGATTCATTTTCCTTTGATGTGAATTCCCTTGGGTTTTTTATGGTCGATTCAGGGTCAGAAGGGATTTTTGGGCACTGTCCACTCCAAGCCCGTGGACTACAGCTCAGGGCAGGGTCTGAAAATCCCCAAGGATGGAGAAGTTACAACCTCTGTTATGCTGTTTTACCACCCTAACAGTGAAAAACACAAGATTCTTTTCTTATGTACAATATTTCTGTATTATACATCCTATATATGTTGTATACTTTTTAATATTTATACTGTTATATTTTGGTCTCATTTGAGAGAGTAAGATGCCTGAATTTTTATTAAGTTGTGGTTTCTTTGTGAAAAATGATGTCTGTCAAAGGAAAGAAATTTAAATTAGTGTTTTTAGGGAGGGAAAGGCTGATTTCTGAAGTCATCCGTGAACTGCTTTAGGGTTTGATGGAGACAGGCTGGGTATTGAAGACGAAAGGACAGAAATAACTTGATTTTATGATGTCTACTGCCAAGCGTGCCCTTTTACCTAGGAGTTACTAATTAGTTCCAAGCAATTAGTCAGTTTCATAAACTGATTTAGTAGTTTATATCACATTGATCTTCTGTTAGAGGACTCGATCCTTGCTGTGCCACTACCATCAGCAGCGTTAAATATTTATTGGTGAACGCTGGCTATAATAACTGTCAGCGGGATGCGGAAACCCATCCCCGCTCCTGGAACCACGCCGGTAAGGAAGAATAAAGAAAAATAATAAAGGAAAAAAACGAAAAGTAAAGGAAACTAGAGGAAAATCCGAGTGCCGAAAGCTCTCTCCGGCGGCTCCCCTCAGGCGCTTGCCGCTCCTCCCGCGCGCCCCCCGCGCGGCCACGCCCCCTGCGGGCGGCCCCGCGCATGCGCGGCGCGGGCGGGGCGGGGCGGCCGCGCTGCCGCGGTCACGGCCCGGCGGGTGCGCGGGGCTGGAGCGTGGAGCCCGGCCCTCGGAACCCCGCTCTCGGAGCCTCCGCTCCTCACCCGCGGCCACGGACAGGGAGGCCGGGGACAGCCGTCCCTCCTCCCGCCGCTGGCGGAGCCGCAGCCATGGACGAACAGAGCGTGGAGGTGAGCGGCGGGCGGGCGGCGCGCGTTGCCTCAGGGCGGTGAGGGGGCAGCGGCGGCGGCGGCTTCTCCTCCGCACCCCCCTCCGCTTTACCGGAGCCCCTCGGAGGGTCCCTGTACCCTGTGTGAGGGGCGGGGAAAAGGCCGAGCGGTACCGAACGGTGGCGGCCCTGTCGCTGGGAACAGCCTGCGGCGCTGCGGGGCTTGGCTCGGGTGGGCAGGCAGGCAGCAGGTGGGGAGGGGGTAGGAAATGAGCTGGCGGAGCGCCGCAGGTGCCAGTTCCGGAGGTGGATGGATCCGGGGATTGGATGGATGGAGACCTGGCACACACGGAACTCGCCTTGGCACCGTGAAGGGGCAGAAGTGGCTGTGACCCGGCAGCTCAAACACCTGCCGGGGGCTGTGTCACGGCCAGGCTGGGGAACAATGTAGAAGACCGGCTGCAGTTGTCTGCGGTTATCATAAACGCATATGGTGCGTTTCAATGGCTTGCAACCGTTAAAGAAGACGTTAATGTGTGGGAGATACTGTGGTATCCATCAATTGAAGATATCTTGCTTTTGTGCTGATTCAGTCTTAATGCTGTGGGCAAAAAATTTATTCCACCCGAAGGACCTTGTGAAGTTCCATAGTTGTAACCAGAAATATAACTCCTGTATGATACAGGATGTAAAACTTACTTATCAGTTAAAAATGATCAGTATGGAAAACAAACACTGCTTTCAAAATACCTTTCTCGTTTGGGGAATGTTTTTATCACTCAAGGTTGATTAAATGGGGTGGGGGAAAGTGTGGAAATAGTGGAGCTAGTGCTAATGGGAGACCTTAAAAGAATATAAGTCTTATAAAAGTCAGAAAAATACCCATTTCAATTCAGCACCTCTTGTGCACTTACTATGATCTAGAAATAGTTTAGTGCCAGTCCACTCTCTGCAGGTACAACACCATTTCTTCTGGCAACTGCTCAATCCCTTGTGAACACACACAGGAGCATCTTGGCTACAGAAAGGCCTGCTCCAAAAGAGATAAGAAAAACAGAAACTATTCCTTGAAGAAAGAGAATAGTGATATAACACGGGTCCTGGTGCATCGTAGGAGAAGCTGAGGGGGAGACTTGTGATGTCCGGGTTGTATCTCCCTCAGAGGTGTGTTTGGAACAGGACTGAACCCTGGCACAGTGCCTGGAAAACAAGTGCAGCCCTGATGTGTCTGAAGCATGTTTAACAATAGTGCTAATCCCCCTTTGCAGAGTATTGCCGAGGTGTTCCGATGTTTTATTTGTATGGAGAAGCTGCGGGATGCCCGCCTGTGCCCTCACTGCTCCAAGCTCTGCTGTTTCAGCTGTATCCGGGTGAGTTTGCTTGCTTTAGTCTATTCTTTCAAAGGTTTGAACTGAAAACTGACTGAGCTTATGAAAACATTATTTTTTCTGGAGTTTGAAGGATTCCTTTTTTTTCCTTCCCTTCCTTAGCTTCCCTTTCAGAACCTTTTATAACGCCCCTGAGGAAGAAGTAGGCAAGCTGTGCATTGCCTTCAGTGGTGCTAATTATAAGCACCATCTGGAATAATTGCTTTAAGGAAGAGACACACAATGATCCCTTCTTTAGCTTCTCCTGAGAGTTCCTGATGCCTGTATAGAAGAGAAAAGTTGGGACAGAAATCAAATGCTGACTTTGCATCTGGGAAGGTCACGGCATTACCTCCTGAGGTGTTTTATAATGCTTGTCAGGCTGGTGTGGTGTGATCAGGTGGGGCTAAATCTTTCTCAGGGGAGTCTGAGGCAGCACCTGAATCCTCATTCCTTTGTTGAGGCAATGGTTCCCAGCGTATCACACTCCAGTTCCAAATCCAGATGCTGTTTTGTGCTGCTTTAGCAGCAAAAGGTTCAGCTGAGGTTTCCAGACCTCCCGTAGTATTTCCAGAAATTGGAACAGACATTCATCCTTCGCTCTGGAAGCTCTGACAAGAGCTGTAGGTGAAGGATTCGTGCTGCATATTAAGGATTTTAGATGACATATTGTTGCTGGGTGGTGAGAGATTATTCATGAGACTCTTTAAATGTAGTAGAGAGCTGACAAATATAAACCCATCAACTGCTGAGCTTTTACACTTGTGAGTTGTAGTGGGCAGGTGAAGTTCTTTGCTCAGCTGTTTGTCCCTGGAGCTTTCTGGAAGAGAAACACTCACAGGGTCCTTGTGGATTTGATCATTGAACTTCAGGTATTTAATTTGTCTAAAAATAACCCAAGAGGAAGAAATAAACTACCTTGAAGACTAATTAGAAGATGCTTGTGGTGTCTTTTTCTTTCCTTTATTGAAACATGTTCTTTAGTTTAAGACTCTGGGAATCTGCCAGGTGGGTGGTTTCTAATGCAATATTTGGTACCTCAGAATTCTCTGTATAATTTTAACTGAAGCATCTCTGACATCTAAAGACAAGTGGTTGCTTCTTACTAAGACACAAATAGCAGCTTCTTCTGTGACTAAGTGGTTGAACAATTAAATTGAAAATTTGTTTAAAAAGGAAAAAAATACAGGAAAGCTGTAATAAAAATAAGTAACTCCTAATTAATGATAGAATGTATTTGCCTGCAGTTCTTTCATTTCAGTCTGTTTAAAGAGGTTTTTCCTTTTTCCATCACAGCGTTGGCTGACCGAACAAAGAGCTCAGTGCCCTCATTGTAGGTAAGGTATTTTTAATATCAGGAATTGAGTGCATTTTCCTGTCATGATCAATCTCTTTTTCAGTGCAGGTTGCACTAAATTTATAAGCTTGATTTTTTTGAGACCTGCCTGCTGTTTCTATAAAAATTGGCCCTGGTATAATACTTATTCTCAAATGTAGTCTAGGCAGGATTTTTGTTCTTCCCACGTAGCACTGCTGTGCACATAGCTGGTGTAATAGGAGTAACTAGAGGAATTCCTCTTTATATTCTTCTCTCAAAAGTCACAGCCCAGGAGCTTCAGTTTTCATGGTGAAAGTGTCCATTTTTTATGGCTGTAATTCATGTGATGTGCCTGTGCAGCCATTCTGTGTTCAGTTCCCACCTCCTCCCAAATGATCAAATTACTCTTTTTTTTTTTTTTTCTTTTGGAATAGCTAGTCCACTTTCTGCTCTTTTTTACCTGTGACTCTTCTGGTAATGTGGAATTGAACTGAACTCACTGCAGGGCTTCTCCTTTAGCTCCTGGAGCCAAATTCCTGCTCTAACTGTGCCATCCTTCTTGCAGAGCACCCCTGCAGCTCCGAGAGCTTGTCAACTGTCGCTGGGCAGAGGAGGTCACACAGCAGCTGGACACACTTCAGCTCTGCAGCCTCACAAAGCATGAAGAGAATGAAAAGGACAAGTAAATGGAGTGCTCTTTGTATCAAGTGTTCTGTGGTTTGGATTATAGGAGCTAATTTTAGTAATGTACTCTCTGTATCTGTGAAGTGCTTCTGGAGAGAATACTAAAAGCAGCATTTATCTTACAAAAGGTTTTTACTGTATGTAATTATTCTTCTTGAAAAAGATGTTTTGTGCTTTAGTTGCAGGATTGTGTAGCAAAACAAGTGAAAATGCTAAACTGAGTTTGTAGAAAATTCATAGCAATTTTCTGTGGGTGATATGTGTGTTTCTTGGTTTAAGGTGTGAAAACCATCATGAGAAGCTCAGTGTTTTCTGCTGGACCTGCAAGAAGTGTATCTGCCACCAGTGTGCACTTTGGGGAGGAATGGTAAGGGAAACTTGCTGGAATGCACACGATGTGAGGAACTTCAAACTTTGTGTTTGACAGTGGTTTTGAAGAACTAGAAATTCTGTGAAACTCCTGTTGTGGCTGTTGGATTGCCATGCACTTTTTAGGTGTATTTATTATTTAGTAACACTGCTTG